CATTCTTCAGGCAATATGTTACACTCTTAAGCACACTTAAAATTTTTATTGTACCTTTGCAATGTCCAAAGTGCTATGCTAAATAGGAAGAATCAAAGATAGGAAGGAAAATAAACATCGGTTGCCTCAAGGTGAACTGGAAATTTTGGAGAACATTTACAAAGTAGTTTGAAAATGTTACCCCTGGGGGTGGCTGGAAAATGCCCCTTACCTCCAAAGGATGCTCTCATGTGAGTCACAGGAAACCATGAGTGTCCCTGACCTTGTTTGGAAGTGAAAATTAGGACTAACTGAAGAAGGGACTAACTGGACAAAGGAACTGCCCAATGGTGTGAATTGGTTCTAACTGCAATCCACCCAGCCTCCCCAAAGGCCAGAGAAGACGCACACACAGCGGCACTCAGAGGGAAAGGGAGACCACAGAGCAGCTCTGCAGGTAGACTGAGTGGCCACAAGCCAAGGAATGCTGGCAGCTGCCAGAGCTGCAGGAGGCAGGAAAGATCCCCCTCCCACAGACGACTTGGGAAGTGGGCCCACTGGCCTCCAGAACTTGTGTTGTTTTAAGTCCTCTTGTCTGTGACCATTTGCCGTAGCAGCATGGGAAACTTATATACCCTTTGATTTAAAGTCACTCTGTCCTGTTTCTATTACTTAACACAGACCTAGCTACTCACAAAGCCCATGAAGCAGTGACCACCACATTTATCATCTAGCTGGACAATTCTAAGGAAGCAGAAGGTGCTGACCCCTGTCCACCCCATCTCTATCCACCTCTGGTCCTCTCCCTCACGCAACAGCATACCCCCCCCCAACTCCTTCAGCCCAGCCACCCGGACAGGCACCTGTTCTCATCCTCTTTGTACATCCCCCACTGACCACTGCAGCTCCCTCTCCCTGTCCTCCAGGTAATGCCCCTGTCTTTCCCTGATGTTCCAGTCAAACACTGGCAGTCCTGCCTCCAGAGACGCTCTGCCACTCTAAGCACACAGCACAAGGGTCAGCACACCTCTCCTCTCTTGTGCACATGACATTTTTCTGTCTCCTCCACAGACTGCAAGCTCTATGAGGGCGGTAACCATACCTTTTTGGATTTTCTCCTCATTACTATATTCTCTGTGCTCAGCACAGCATAGGGGCACATTGTGGTCAGAAGGGAGGGGTTATTATAAAATAGCAAAGGGAGATGGAACCAGAAGAGAAAAGGAAGAGGGGACTGCTGAACATGGAACCACTCAGGTTTGTGCTTACAACTTACAACCGTGGAGCAATGACTTGTGGCACTTTGAAATCCAGACAATTGACTATGTGGAGCTTCCCCAGCCGGTGGGACCCTGGACAGCCTGACCCCATGTCTTCAAAACACCTGAAGGTAATTTCTGCCTTTTCTGTGGTCTCTGAAAACACACAACCTTCCATACTGGATGGATAGATGGATGGATGGATAAATGGATGGATGAATGGATGGATGGAGGAATGGATGAGTGAGTGGGTGGGTGGATGGATGAACGTATGGATGAGTGGGTGGGTGGATAGATGGATGGATAGGTGGGTGAGTGAGTGGGTGGATGGATGAATGAATGGATGAGTGGGTGGATGGATGGATGGATGATGGATAGATGGATGGATGGACAGGTGGGTGGGTAGGTGGATGGATGGATGAATGGATGGGTGGTTGGTGGGTGGATGGATGGTTGGATGGATGGATGGGTGAGTGGGTGGGTGGGTGGATGGATGGATGGATAAGTGGGTAGGTGGATAGATGGATGAATGGGTGGGTGGGTAGGTAGATGAGTATATGGATGCATAGATGAGAAGATGGATATATGATTCATAAATGATGAATTGGAAATACAGGCAATGTAAGATTCTACAATAATATATTTTTGGAATATTTGTTTTGTTTATTCATTTTTTTCCTTGGGTCTTGAAAATAGAACTCAATTAAACATCTCAAACTTGGAATTCTTCATTTCTGTGCATATAAGTACTTTCAATAAAGTGATATTTTTAACTCCTTAATTCACAAAAGCTGAATTTAGCGGTCTCTCCATTCCCCAGCCTTTTAATTTTGACAGGGTATGAATGTGAGCAATGAAGTTGCACATATGTGCATGTGCACATGCACACACACACACACACACACACACACACACACTTCCTCCTAGTATTTTCTGCTGCCCTAAAAAGTCCTGAACCCTAGTAAAGGTGCCACTATAAACTGAAGCTCTCTCTGTCCCCTCTCTGTGGGAGAATTATGCAAGTGGACCTAAGAGAGAAGCTCTGTGCACGGAAGCCCACGGCACAGGATGAGAAGTCCCTGCCCAGGAGGCCTGGGACAGGTACCACAACTTTTTCCCCTGATTGCAGGTCCCTGAGCTTCTGCTTGTCACTAGAATTTGGCTGAGAAGGGTGCATGCAGGGAAGATGGCCATGGCAGCCTAAGGTGACAACCTTCCTGCTCTGTGTCTAAATACCACTTTACTCTCTGCTCATCTCCATCTTCCCACTGAACCTTCTTCTTAATTCACCCTCCTGTCACCTGCCTCTACCCAGGAAGCCCACAGAGAAGCACTAACCATCTGCCACCTGCACATCCGAGATCTACAGCAACTCCCAACACCAGTCAGCACTTGAAGTGAGACGAAAGCTCCCAGCAACTTAATCAACGGCTGTTCTCCACATGAGTTTGGGGCCACGTGACAAGGGGTTGGTAAAACTTTCTTTATCATACCACTGCTCCTAGGTCCCAAGGAGACAGATGTACAAGAAATGACATTTTATCTGTATTTGTATTTTTAAAACAGCTAGATGAGGGTAGGTTTGCTCTATGACTAATCATTTTCTGCTCATGGAATTTAAGCAGGCATCAAATCCAAGGGTGCTAGCCTGGTGTCCAAATGCACACTCTGTTTTACCCAAGAATTCTTATTTGGAATGCACAGAGACACAGGGGTAAAACTGGTATCATGCAGGAGCATGTGTTTAATAACTGACAACAGCAATCCCTACCTTTCATCCAGTGCCAGATGAATTAGGTGTTTTAGAGTGTGTGCATTTACTTCTGACCAGAACCCTGTTAAATATGGCCAACACTTGATTTCAGGCTGGTCAGAGCTCTCAAGTGGCCACAGAATCTCAGAGGGGAAGGAATCTGAACGTGCTGGGGAAGGACTGGCCTACCCTGGTTTGATGAGCCATGCCTGCACCGTGAAGTTCCACATTACCCAATTTCACAATATTAACTTGCCCGTGTTCTCTGGCACCGTGTACATGATCACTGAATTCCTACCATGTGCTTGGCTGCGCTGAGCACAGTGGGAAGTCCCCACACAACCGAGTCACTCTTGAACTGTCTGGCTGAGTTGAGTTCTCTACAATCAACAGACGGAAGTTGTCATCTGCTGCGTTTATACTGTCACCCAGAAGCTGATTTCTGGCCATTTAGAAAAAAAAGGCTTCCACGTTTACAGAAAATCACTTGGGGAAGTTTTCAGCGCTTCCACTTGGAAAAGTTCAGACGCATCTGGGAAATTCAGCTCTCTCACACTGCCTGGTCTAATCGATCTGTAAGGGAACTGTGTAACAACACAGCTGACAGGTCATCTTTACCAAGCTACCCTGTGCCTTTCTTCCCAAAACCTTGTTACTGCAGCATGAAAGCAGAGACATCTATTCTTATTATAAAACCCAGTGACCACCAGTAAAGAACTTGCCTCCTGGCCATTCTTGCCAGCCAGGCTGTGGCATGGGGAGGGGTATTTTAAGCCTCATGTCAGCCTGGATTGGATTCATGGAATTCACCAACCTCTCCTCTAGTTTCCTGTGTACAGCATAACTCTCACTAGCTCTGGTCATCGGGATTGTTCTAACACATAATTGAGAGACCCGAGTCCATTTCAGCTGCACTTGAGAAGACAGTGGAGTGGATGAACATAAGATGTTCTTTCTTAATGGGAGCAGCACAAAAGCCCAGCGGGTGAACTGTCTAGATCTACCTGATCCAAAGCCACAGAGCCTCCTGATACTGGGAAAACCCAGGGAACAGAAAATTCATGTAATTGAAACACTCAATGTGTGGTAACTGACTCTGAAGTTTCTAAGAGAGATCTCACCCTGAAAATAATCATAGAAAAACATGTTTACAGGGTTTTTTCAGATCACGCTTTAGACTGCTAAATATCTCCACTTTCTCCCAATATGTGCCTCTGTAGGAAAGGGGCACTTGAAGGGGCAAACCTCACACAGACAGAGTCCCAATCAATAAGAGAAAAAATTGCTGGTCCTCTCTACAATCTGCTCTGAGTATCAAACAATTTCTCTGCAAACAATTAAGGTCCCGAGGTTTCAAACTCACAATCAGGGATGCTGAGAGCCGAGAGAGATGGATGGGTCAGGCCCTGCTGGGAACTCGGGACCCAGGTTGCAGTTAACCTCTCCCTGGATGCTGCTCCCCAGACACCCCAGGAAGGTGCCTGTGGCGACCTGGTGCTGAAACCTCTGTGTGGGCTGGGCAGAGGAACTCCAGACCCTTTCTTCAGAGCTGACCCTAAGCCCTATTTTTAGCAGCCTCAGGTGTACTAAATGGAATTCCCATATGATAAGACTTTTCCAAAATTATTTCTAAACAGGTGCCAGAAGAGAAGTCAACTCCAAATCCCAGGATCTTCCAGGTCATTTCAGTTCCCCTTTCCTGTCCTGGGGTCAGCACTCTGGCTGTCACCTTCTCTATCAAGGGCCTTACAACCCCCTGTCTTACTGTCCTCTGGCAACAACCTTCAATTCCCTCGGGTTCCTCTGCAGTCTCCCCCATGGTATCCTAGCCAGGTCCTCCAGGGGAAGGACCTGCAGCCGAGGGACCGCTGAGCATGTCCCCTGCCACAAACCAGCACACACACACCGCGCACATCCACGCCCTCGCTCCCTGCCGCCCACAGCCCCGCAATCTCCCACATGCACTCCAGGCAAAGTTAGTCCCGGGCCCAAGGTGGCAGGGTCCTCACCTTTGGAGAAAAGGGCGGTCAGGCTGATGAGCACGGGGGACCAAAGGTGCCACAGCATTCCCATCTCACTGGGGCACATCCTGGAGCCCCGGAATGAAGATTTTCAGCTTCCCTGACACCGTCTAGGTAAGAACAGACGTCGCCAAACCCCTGGAGGACCGGAGCCTGGCTGGATGGCGAAGCGAAGGCGTCTAGGGTCCGGAGCAGCCCAGGCGCCCTGCGCCCTCCTCCTGATTGTCCATCTCCTGGCCAGGAGGCGACCACTGCGCGGGCTCTGGAGTTGCTCTCCGGTGTCCAACACCCGCAGGAAGCCCCACCCCCTCTTTCACCCCCACCGGGATATTTTTTTTTTAATGTTTAATCCACGAGGGGTTTTTCCTTTCCTGTTTACCCAAGTGAAGAGGGGCTGCCGGTGGCCCAGGCAGGGCGCCT